TTCATCTCTTCACATCTGCCATTTCTAGGTGTGTGGCTGATCCTGTGTGTCTTGCAACTGCGCTTGGAGGTGCTGAAAATCCTGGTGGTGGTGGTTTGATGCCCAAGTGTTAAAGGACATGCCTGAGTTACCCTTGGTTCTTGTGTGACTGGCAGTGGGTAGTGAGTGTGGTTTGGTGACCACCAGACCACGCAGGGACAAACTTCTTCTACAGGCAGGGAAGAATTAGTGCTGCAAAGGAGAGAATTTCAGTCCTCTGAAGGTCTGTGTTCAGCTGCAAGGCTGGGCTGTGGGGTCAGCCCCTGCCTCCTCCATGCTGACATGCCCAGGTATCTCCAGCAGCCACACCAGGACCTCGCTCTGGGAGGATGCTTGGGCTGGGGCCACCTCAGTGTTGACCCAAGGGAATGGCTGGACTTTGGAGCTTGTGCCTAAAGGTTTTAGAGATGGAAGGAGAAGACACTCCCTGTGGCTTTTCAGGTGGGAACGCGTGGGCCTACTTATTTAGGAAAAGAAAAAATACCCCAGCACTTCAAGCCTTCAGCATCCACCTTCATAATTAAACCCCTAATCACAAGCAGAGCGCAGTATGTGACTCTTCTGGGAGCTGTTTCTTAAGGTAGCTTTCCATTTTGCATTATTTCGCTCCATGCTCAGGCCTGCCTACGTGCCAGGGTTTACTTAACCTTAAGCTGGTGAACAGGCTTATTGAATTTGGCCAGGACTTGACTAATCCGTAACGAGCTGCAGGTTGCCTGAGGCTTGATGTCAAGGCAGTCCTGTGTGTATTTGTGTAAGGGGCTGGCCCAGTATTGTCACCCCTGCACCATCAGCATCCTTGTGCCCTGCTCCTTCTCCAGCCTCTTGACATCCTGCTCTGAAGCCTGGGGCTTTGTGGAGAGAGTAGTGGGGAGAGAGGCAGTGGGGAGGGAAAATGCAGCAAGAAAAGCCCAAAACCCAGCTGGGGTGGAGGGAGGATGCAGCTGTCTCCATGCAGGACTCCCTGATGGCTTCATGGAGCTTGGGGGGTGGAGGACATTCATCCTGGAAAATCTCCCATCTGGAATGTCCTGGGTGTGTTTTTTTCTCTTGTTTCCTTTTTTTTTTTTTTTCCTCCTCTGGTTTACTATCTCATTTTAATAAGGGCAACGGGAAGGACTCTAGGTGAGGTCCTTACTACAAAGCGTGCCAGAAATGGATAACTTAGCAAATATAGTATATTGTAAGGAGATCCAAAGAATGTGCTTAAATTTGGATTGTGTTGTCTGGAAAGGGTTGTGTCTGTGAAGGTTTTTGTCTAAAGATATGAAAAAAGAAATCAAAAAATGATGGAACTTCTTACATTGACCTTGCAATGAAGCATTGTGCCTTGGAAATGCTGAAATGTTTCATCTAGATTCAAAATCTGACTACTTTTTTTTTCTTTACCGTGCAGTGATATTTTTCATTTAAAATAGACCTGAGATATCATCATTTTTTTTTCTTTTAGAAAAAAAAGAAAAGAGGAAGATAAAAATCAAAGAAAAATTAGAATTCCAGAATGAAAACAAATGTTTTGGGATTGAGCAAAGTAATTTGACTTGAACCGAAACAAAGCTTTTTAGTGTCTTAATTTGTCAAAGGTCGCAGAAATAATTCAGATGTTGGTTTAAGTCAATTTTTTCCCCTTTGTTTATTTACTTCAGCTCAGCCACTTGAGAAATCCATTATTTGCCTGCTTCTTATTGAGTATCTAATGATGAAAATAAATTGTTACCACTCTTTACTACTCTTTTCCCATAAGGCTGACACAGCACAGAAGAGGAACCAGATTCTTTTCCTTCTAGCATGACACTGGGAAGATTATTTATAGCACTTCAGCTCCATCCCTCCACAAACCAGCAGGGATCAGGCTCATTAAGGGCAGGATTTAGAGTCTGTGGGGTCGCATAAATTAACTGAGAGCAAAACTTGTTAGACACAAATTTTGTCCTGAGTGATGCAGGAGGAATCTGGCTCGGATCTCGCATACCCAGCAGCTAGGTGGAGGGAAAAGATCCCCTCGCAGGAATTAAAAAACGCTCGTGCCTTGTTCGAGATCAGAGAGCCAAATATAGACCCTATCGCGCTTCCTTCCCTCCTCCTTCCGAAGCGCGGCCTTTTGAAGTGCACTTTAAATGGGATGTGGATAATTGACTCCATGAACACCCGAGTGAGTGCTCTGTTGGTTTAACCGATTGGTCTCAGTTGCTGATTCCTGCTTTGTTTTGGATGATTTTCAGCCCAATTGCCCCGTCAGCTACAATTAGGACCATTGATGGGACAGCCGAAAGGTCACCCATGGCTCACAGCAGCAGCCAGGAGCTATTCCCCCTGTGGTGTTCTCAGCTCCGAGGTCGTGTGTGTCGACGGTCGGCTCAAATTGATGGTCATTGCCAGCCGGGGCATAAAACTGATCAAAAGGGACATAGGGGGACTGTTTTACAGGAGGATAATTGACTGAGAAGTGAGGTCGTTGTGAGATGTAACATTTGGATGAACTTTTCTTTAATGAGATGAGAAAGCTCCTGATTCTGTATAAAGGGGAAATTTTGAACTGCTAGGCTTCCTCCATCCCGCCAAAGCCACGAGAAAAGGAAATAGAAGTGGGACAGAGCAGTGTGTGTATCCTGTGACTTCTGCAATAAATCTCTTGCTGTCATGGTCGAGTAACATCTGCCATTGTTTGGGGCTTTGTGCATATAAACAGACAGTCTCTGCCATCCAAGACTTACACTTGGAGGAATAAAATATATATGGAATTATATGGACCCCAAAACCACTTGGAAGACCCCAGTCAGAGACGGTCCACTTGCAAAGGAGGAGGTTGTGTATGGTGAGGTTATACAAGGTTTTGGTTTGGTGGTGTTTGGTATTCTCCTTAACTGCCTGGATGAGGGAAAAGAGAATATACTGATGAAATGGGCAGGTGACTGCAAGCTGGGAAGGGCTTGCAAGCAGCCGGGCTGATAGGATCAGACTTCCAGGTGACCTCGCACAAATTGTGGGAGTGGTGTGAAAAGAAACATTTGTGGTTTGGTCAAGGCAAACAAGGCTTTGCAGCCTGGCAGAAACGATGGAGCGTGCCAGTGTGGGATGGGGACTGTTCCAAGTAGGTGAGAGGGCACTACAAAGAAAATGTAGGTAACTTGTGGGCCAGGCAAGAAACAGAGCATGAACTTCAAACAGGGTGATTTTGGCTAGACTCTCTGGTTAGACTCCGGACTCCTGTCTTCACAGGGGATTTTTAAGACTGTTGGGCAAATTTTTATGAAGAGGGACATGGTGACAGTCAGTGCTGCTCTGAAGCATGGGTTGGAGGTCTGCCTATATCCCTGATTCCTCAGGGTGAGATGAATATTTTCCCCACCCCTTTTATTCTGATAACAAAACATTACCGTTGCTGTGAGGATCGCGTGAAGAATTGTTTGATCGTAGACCAACATTTTCCTCAAGCAGCTTGATGGAAGTTCTGCAGCTTTGGATGCAGATTCCAGGGAAGTCTGTAGGAACATCATCTGAAAAAGGGAGTTTGGGTCTGGTCTTGCAGGAATGTACAACATGCACAAATTCCCCCTTTATTTCTACAGAAGCTGCACTTTATGCAGACTTCCACAAGGCCCAGAGGTCAGGGTGATGCACCGAGTGTATTCCTTTTAAATCTTGTCTGTGGCTTGTTCTTGTGAAGATTGGTGGTGCTGTTAAAAAGCTGAGCAGCAGGAGACCTTTTCTATCAGTGTGTTTCCATCCATGTTTGGGTAACACAATGAATGCAGATGTAGGAAACTTTTGATTATCTATAGGATTTTTCTGTGGCAACTTCAAAGCTCTGCGGTTAGTTATATTCTGAGGCTTTAAATGGATATGTAGTGTGTTCAGAAATCTTATTTAATTTTCCGGTTTAATCTATTGTCCAAACATCGTTAATGTTGTCTTTGAGGCATGGGACAGCTTTGATGGAGTCATTTTTTTAATTTCTGGCTGTCACCCCGCACAGCCATAAACAACATCCTGCCTGCTAATGAGAAAATTCAAGTTAATGCAGTCACATGTCTTGTGGAAATAGATTGGGGTGGCTGGAATTAAAAAGAAACCAGCTCTGCTCACCTCCCCCTGCAGCTAGCACTAGCATTTGGAGCTCTGACAGGGAGGAGAAATTTCCACAAATGAAGATACGCCATTGCAAAGCAGCATTACCAGCTGAAAATGAAAGTATTTCATAGATGTATCTTTAATTCTTCAATCTCCTCTTGTGAGTTATCTTTTCTACTTATAAACATCTAAAACCTTTCCCATTAAATACTGTGTTGGGCTCAAGTGTTCCTGGCAAATTCAGGCTTGTGGAAGCACTTGACTCATTAAAGCAAGGGAGCGGGGTACGCCATTAAATACATGTGAAGCAGTTCCACGACGTTGCTGTCCTCTCTGTTGCTTCCCCCGCCCTCCCATCTCCTGAAAACGTTTCTGTTTAGGAAGTAAAACCTGTGTGTGTGTGTGTATGACCTTGGAAAAACTTGGTGGAAGTTTGGCGGGGGGCACAGCCCAAGGCAGGCTGGCTTGGTGTTTGCTCTGTGTTGGGCCACATCCCCATGTGCCATGCTAAACATCCATTTGGAAGTGAAGGATTAAAGCGGCATGGGCAAATGAAAATAGATGTTAGCTGACCTCTACAGCAAGTTTTCCTCCGTGGAGACGTTTCACAGGCAGGTGTCCTGCTAGCTTGCAGGCAGGGCTCGATATGGGGCAGCAGTGCCCACGTTGAGCAGCACCAACCACTGTGCTCACCATCAGCTATGGCCTTCCCTGGCACTTGCACCCATTTAACCACGTTTATCTCTTCCCCCCAGTAAAAAAAAGTTGACATTTGCCATTTCAAACTACCACTGAAAGCAGGTAGTGTGGCCACGCAGGGGCAGGCCTGGTGGCTCTGCCACATCCATGTCATGTCTGAGGCTTTCCTCTCTCCCTCCCTGTGTCTGCAGAGCACGGCTTCGTTGGCTACTCCGAAGAGCTTTTGTTCAACAACACGCTGCCGGACTACAGCCAGGGGGAGTCCTTCTTCACTGTTTTTGGAGTGTTTTTCCCAGCTGCCACAGGTACTGTGAGCTTTATCCTCCCCTTTTCCTCCACAGGCACATCTCCAGATGAGCAGAAGCCAGGGGGGTTTCTGCAGCCCCTTTCGGTGAGCACTCAGCCAGAGCAGACTCATGCAGCCGATTCAAAATGTACAGCCTCTCCTGCAAAGCCTCAAATTTTGCACAGTCCTGTCTGGTGTGCTTGAATGTGCTCTGCTTTCTCTCTGTGGCCAGAAACTGTTTCTCAAGTCTGTGGGTCGATCTGATGGTATCACTCCTTCGTTGCCAAGGATTAGGCACTGATCTTGACCAGTGCTTCCAGGCCACAGGATACCAAGCCTTTTTAGTAGTGTCAATCATGATTTATCTTGTTCAATAAGCCTTGTGACTAGATTGTGCTGGACAGGTGGGAAGGGGACAGGGGGGCTTTTCCTCCAGCCTCGCAGCTTGGTTGGTGCTATCACTCAGGATGCTGACTCTCTGCACTGCCTGCTCAGCAGAGCTCACGTTCATTAAGTTTAATTGGATGCTTTTGTGTTATTCCTTCCTTTAAATTAAGAGGAAGATCGATGTCCCCTCTCCACAGCTGGCACTGTGAAGTGGGAATGAAATAGCTATCAGTTGGAGTTACAATACCTTTTGTTGATGCTGGTTTTTAAGCTATAAAAAGTACTGATTATAAGCAGTTTCCATAGTGATGAATCCTTGGATTATAGGATGAATTTGCAGAGGATTAGCTCTAAGCAACTAGCTAAAAGTTGTTAGCAGAATTGCTGCAGTACAGAGAGACAAACTAAAAGGTTTTGTGAAACAGATGAGCTGGAGGAACAATCTGCTACCAGACAAAGTCAGGTATACCTAGAGCAGGATCTCAGATTTTCCTTTGAAATCCTCTCTCTCGATTTACCTGGCTGGCTGTTGCCTCCAGGTAGGCTTTCTCCTGGAAAAAGAGCCTGCATGAACTGTTGGCACCGTGGAGAAGTTGGTTGCTGCCCTCTTCCTCATCGTTTTGTCTGGCCCACACGAGTCCCCCAGCCACAGAAAGAAACCTTCCTCGTGAGCCCTACCACTGATGCAGGAAAATGTTTTTTTCCAGTTCTCTGATTACAGAAGAAGGAATAGTTATGACAAAGCAGAAAATTGTGATGGTTAACCATATTAAATGGTTCTCCGTCACTGCTAATGCTTGTCTGCTAGGAAGAAGGCCAAAGCTAATAGATATAATTTATTTAAAGTCCTGACAGCCTGTTAATTTGTTAGTTAGTGGTAGTAACACCAGTAATACTGTTAAATATTCTCCCAAAATACAGTTTGGGCTGATGTGTAATTACTTTGGTTGCTGCAGAGCTTTTTCTTGTGTTCTTTTTAATTGCTTGGTTATTTAGAGGATTTAAATTGTTCTTTGGAGCAGTGGTGCCATATAACACCACCATTGTTTCTGGCGTTGCTGTTCATAGCGCTGCAGTGTTCAGGAGCCTCGTGAAAAAAAACACAGTGCTGTGTTAGGTGCTCTACGTGGGAGAACTTGTGATCTGATTAAGAAAGATTAAAAAGGCAGGAGATGGGAGTCGTGACTTCTCTGCTCCAGATCACAGCTGGGATCCTAGTGCAACTTCAGAGGTACTGGGAGTAAAGCTCACATCTCCAAGAGCTGGTGCAATGCCTTATCTTGCATCCTTACCTACGCTGGGGCTGCAGAGGGGACAGCAGCTTTCTCAGTGTCCCATGTGCTGCAGCACAGCTGCTTCCCACGACATTGTTGGCGAGAGGATGATGCTCCCTGCCTGGAGGCAGCCTCAGCCCCCCAGCAGGACAGGCTGTCTGCAGGGCTCCGGGTGACGTGTCAGGGAGGGTTTGGGCAGTGGCATTAAGAGCAGACTAGATAGATGTAATGCAATCTCCAGGCCTCTCCTGCAGGGCAGAAAGAAAAGGAGTGGCAGGGATATGTGAGCATTGCTGCCTGGCTACACCTCTGGTTTGTGCTCCTGCACCATCCCAAAGTGGTTCCCACATCTGTTGGGACTCCCTTGGTGATGGGGATGCAGCAGCAGCAAAATCGTATGCACTAAGCAAGGTGCAACCAAAATTCAGGGAGAGTTTCAGCAGAACAATATGCTGTTTGGGGGTTTCCTTTGAATGTTTGCTTTGGGTCAAAGTGATTTTTCAATGTTGTGTTTACCTTTTATTATTAAATGTTTTGTTTGCTTTTTTTTTTTTTTTAATTTCTAGCATATGCTAGTTTGCAATCTAAGATGCTGTTTTGTTTTGTTTGTTTTTAAAGAATGTAGGAAATTGTGAAACAAGATGTTTAGGTCTTTCTGTGATGAAATGCTTCTCTTTGAAGTGAAACTATTTTGATGTCTTCAGGATAAGCTCTTTAGTCTTCCCTGGAAATTGTTATCTGAATTCAGCTGGTTTAAGTTTGGTCTCTGGGACACACTGAAAAGTGTTTTATAGTTGTCTATTTCCACCCAAAATAGCTCAAGAAACTATTGAAGAAGATGGCTCGGATTTGCTGGCTTAAATTGGAGACTAACACACTTGCTATGGAGGATGTGAATATATGTTATGGAGATGCTGTGTGTTAACCAGATGTTTTTTTTGAGTGTTTGTAAACACCTTAACGTGCATGTTTTGCTGCTGTGTTGTGAAAGGCAGCTCAGCTACCTGTCTAAGCAGGGGTTTTTGTGGGGAAGGAGGCTCAGGAGCTGCCTGCCCACACCACGCATGCGGTTGCTCAGCAGCCACGCAGCTGTCAGTGCAGCAACAAAATGAAGTTAAACATTGCTGTGGTGCAGCGAATCGTTTTCTTTTCTACTAAACCCCCAAGGTGTACCATTTAATGAAAGAAGTGTGTTGTCATGAGATGCGAGAAAGTAAGATGATGTTTGAAGTGGCGTTAGTGGAAAATGTAGTTGTACTGACACCAGTTCTGAAAAATCCCATACTTGGCACTCGCAAAATGACAGCATTTAGAAGATTTAGATTTAGAAGTTTTGGGCTAAGTTATCAGATGATGTAAACTGGCGCAACTCCACTGGAGCCTATGGAGGGGTGCCAGCTTACATCAGTGGAGAATTTGGCCCTTAAAAAAAAAAAAAACTAGCTGCAATTCCTATCTCAGATTTTCCATTCTTCATCTCTTGGTGAAGGAAAAAAAAACAGAACACAACGCTTTTACGCTTTATAGTGAGTTTGCTGAAAAATGCCATGGGTGTTTGCAGGCAGTTGTATCTGCAGTTGTGAGCCATAGCTGGTAGAGCTGTGTGCCAGAGCTGGTGGAGCTGACGACTGCATCTAACCTACAACGTAGGTGGTCCCCTCATGCACGTATCCACTGCCTGGATGACTCCCAGGACAGGATTATGCTGGGAATAGCAGCAATGTACAGACTGTCTCGGCCATAATTTCCTGGCTGAGCTGACCGTGTTTTCATGCTCCCTTGTCCAGAAGCTTTGTCGTTATCTGCTGCTCTCCGAGATAATAGCCAGTGTGGAAAATCCAGCCTGCTATCTCGTTGGAACAGAGAGGTGGGTAATTTTCTCCATGGACAATCCACAGATAGGATTGCTTGAGTTCAGACAGGATTGGCCGTTTCCTTGGGGGTAGGTCTGTGTCTGGAGAATGAAATGTCCCAGCTTCTTCACTTCATTGAATTTGTAGGGTTTTTGCTTCTCTTGAGTAGCTGAAGTCTCTGGAAACCCTGTTTTTGGCTACTTGCAAGGCAGGACTGGTTTGCTGTTTGGCAGGGGTGACCAAAGCTAGTGCAAGTGGAATTTGTTCGGTTCCTTTTGTCTTTTCACTGAAGAGTGTGGTCATTAGTCTGCTGCTCACAACGATCTTCTCAGCACTGCTCCTTGGCAGCTGACACCCTGTCTGGAAAGTTACTTTTTGGGTGGTGGTGGCGGTGGAAAGGTGGCTTTCCACCAGGGCAGGGGTCAATCACCAATCTCAAGATCCCACTTATGTGGGTTCTGGAGGTCATCTCCTGGCTGCTCCTCAGTATGTGTGGGTCTATGGGAGGGAGGCAACGAGGTGAACGGGGCTGTGCAGTCATCACTGTACGGGTGACTCACGTGGCTTCAACTTTTTTCGTACTTGGTCCAGAAAACGCCATTTTGGTGTTTCCCCAGTGCTTTGCTGAGCTAAGAGCTTGGATGAGGAAGAGGTGAGTCAAGCTCAAGCTGGAAGATAGAGAAGCGGTGCCAGATGTTTGGGAAACTTGGCCAAGAGGTACATTAGATAAACAGCTGTCCTTCTGACCACAGCTTGCTCCCTTTGGAAGAAAAATTCAGGGCATTCTGCGTTCTCTGCTTTGCCCTTGAAATGCAAAGTAGCTTGTCACCAAACAGTGCTTTATAGATGCTCCATGTAGCCTGATGTTTTTGACTGTTTCCATGGACTTCTGCCTTCCTAACTTGTCTCACCTCCAGCTAAGCTCATTGTATAACTCTCAGAAAAGGAGCAGTGCTTGAGCAGCGCTTGGAAGCTTTATCCGGGGAAAAGCTCACCAGCTGATGGGCTTTTAGCAGCACTACTCAGATCTATGTCCATGGAGTAGTCTTCCAGGAGAAAATTAACAACTCGTTTTGATTTTTAAAGCCTTCAGTATGGTCCCAGGGATTCAAATCTGGTCTAAATCTGGAAGACAGCTCCTCTGGGAGCAGAGAAGTGCCAGGGGCCCGCAGGGGCTGAGAGCGGCTGCTGGGGCTCTGGCCCTGGGGTGGAGAGGATGACAGAAAGGAATGGCTGCTGGGTGGGCCTGGGATGATCAAGGGGAAGAGAAAAAAAAAATAAAAGAAACAAAGCTCTGGATCTTTAGCTTGATGTGTTTGGCAACATGTGAGTGCCTTGTGCTCATTAGTGTGCTGTCCTCACAGCAGCACAGCGAGCAGAGGAAGTGTTATGATTCCCATTTAGCACAGATGGGGACATGGGGCTGTGAAAATGCACAGGAAAGCCTGGGATGGAGCAGGCAGTTGAGCCTCTGGTCCCTGATTAGCAACCAAATGTTTGCTCCCCGGTGGCCATCAATCCGTGGCTGTGCAAGGTCTTTAGAGAAGACGCCCATCGGCTGAGCTGGGTTTGTCCCCTCTGCTGTGGGATGTGTTCCACGGCTCCTGTCCACCCTTTGCTGAGAAAATCCTCCCAAGCAGCAGTCAGTGTTTGAGCTTTAATATGCAATTGTTAAATTGACCAGTTGCCCTGGTTTGGAGCTGCAGCCGCTTGCATTTGCAGCCTCAGAGGCTGACTTGATCGCTCCTGTGCCCGGTGAATGGCTGCTGGCGTTGGCAGCCGAGTGACAGCCCTACGTGCTCCCTGCTTTCTGCCTGCGAGTGCCATGCTGTTGGCATCCTCATCCTCATTGCTCTTTGTTACTGGTCTCACCTGAGCTCCCAGCAGGGTCCCATGGGTGCTGTGGACTGGCACCTGGCCCACGCAGCCTAGTGATGTTCATCCAACATCCGAGGGATGGGACAGAGGTGGGCAGGAATTAATATGTCAAGGAGGCTCTTAGCCTGCCTTCAGATTGTCCATATTTTCATCAGGAATCCAAATCACAGATTCTCTTTATTTATAGCAGGTATCTGAAATATTCTAACAAATTTTGTGGGATAATTTGATGAGGAAAGGTGTGCTTTCTTGCCAAGTCTGTCGTGACTCCCTCTTCAAATGTGGGTAAAGTCTCTTAACCCTTTTGTAGCTTGGGTTCCCAGCCTGAATGCAGAGGTTTTAATCCTTTGCTTCATCCTGTTTCCTTTTCCTTTGTTGTTGGTTGCTAATTTGTTAGGCTGAGGTCTGTCCCTTGTCATACAGTACTGTCTACTCTGGCCTAAAATAACATCTCAGCACTTTATTCTTAGCTCTACCGTGTGCTTTCTGTGACGCTGGGACAATCACTTACCCGCTCAGAGCTCCTATTCTCCTATCTGCAAAGCAGAGATAATGCCAGCCTCCCGGAGCCGTGAGCGATGCCTGCGACACACAGCCCTTGGATGGAAGGTGCCACCTACGTGCAGAGCCTCTCATTCTGCCCTCTAAATGTGCCTGTGAAAGCCATTAACAAGCACAAGCTGCTCTGCAATCGCGGCTGTCCCTTGTGAATGTGGGCACCTGTAATAGATCTGGTCAAAGCGGCAGGGTCTGGGCAGGGTAGGACAACCTGCTGAATGTCCTGCAGTGATGAACGGTGGCGTTTTTCTTTTCAACACTCAGATGGCACTGTTCTCTGCTATGGTTGCATTAAGATAAGATGGGTTTTGTTTGGATTTCTGCTTTTTCACTCCCCATTCTCCCCCAGCATTGTTCAAACTGGACAAAGGGTTCTTTGTAGACATGTTAGCGGTAGCTCCTTTCTGTTAAAGACAAGAGCAGTTACTTACCAAGCAGTTGATGGGAGCCAGTAACCCTGTCCATGGCAGTGCAATGAAATGATATAGTTACTGTTCTGAAGTAATCGATTAAGTGACTGATTAAATTATATTGCGTATTATAATGTATGTCATGTATGCTATAACTTAAATTAACTCTAAATTGTATTTATGTCTACAAAACATAGGTGTGATGGCTGGGTTCAATATGAGTGGAGATCTCCAGAAGCCTGCTACCAACATCCCCCTAGGGTCTCTGGCTGCTATTGGCACCTCGTAAGTAATAGATTGGGGAGAATTTACTGTCTAGAGTCTGCCCTGGATGTGACCAACCCATTTCGTACTCCCATCAACCTTTTATTACTCAGCCATCTGGAAAATTAAAGTCTGGCTCTCATTCAAATCCTCATCCATTACCACCACCTACTCTGGCTGGGTTGGAGAGGAGATTCGTTAATGTGGATACAATCAGTCCTTCCTCATGCTTCAGCCTTCCTCTGCCGGATGGGATGTGTGTTGGTGCTAGAGCAGTTGTGCTGCTGCAGCCAGGCTGTTCCCAAGCAGCATGCAAAGTGCTGGAAGGCTTGGAGCATGTGGTTTTGTCACTTCTCGCAGCTGGTCTCAAAGTGCTCTCGTTGCAAAAGAGGAAAATGCAGTTGTTATTATTGGAGAAAATGGTACCATGGGAGGTAAAATGACCTGCCTGCCTGCAAGGCCAGGGCAGCACAGGTGCCCTGCATCCCTGGGCAGAGCAGTCCCCCTGGGAAAAGCTGTTTTCCAGGAGTAATAGGATGTTGTGTGTTTAAAAGAACTTCGGTAGGTTCCTGCCTGCTTTCATAGCCAGCTAAACTACTTATGAAAATATTACATATATTTGCGTATCCAGGTTCAGATGGAAAAGAGGGGCCTTCTGAATTTAGTGGGATTCTTGCTGAAAACTGGTGCTCATTTTCTTTTGAGTCAGGGGATTCACATCTCTGCTGTCCAGACTTTGCAGACAGCCTAGCTTATCCCTCCGACTGAGTACTGGAAAAGCCAGAGATACCGAGGAGGATCATGGCTGAGGCAGTAAATTTGGCACATTCAACGCTGCCACCAGATGAGGGGACCTGCATACGGGCAGGATGGGGTTATTCCCTCTGTGTGCACATCAAGAGTGCAGGTTTCCTCACCTCAGGGTACCGTGCCATCACTCTGTGTCTCTCCCCACTGCACTGCAGTGGGCCAGTGATATGTGTGGGTGTTACGCCGAGCCTCGAGGCTGCCGTGCAGGAGCAGCCAGGACAGAGTGGCTGAAGACCCAGTTTACAGCTTCTTGGCCTTCTTCTGGCTCTGCTGGTGGGCACAGTGCTCAGTGGTCATGTCTGGTTGGTGAAAATTGTTTGTTTTTGTTGCTTGCAGGTGGTTTCTGTACATGGTCTTTGTCTTCTTGCTGGGAGCCATTTGCACCCGCCAGTCCCTCCGCTACGACTTCATGATAGCAGAGAAGGTAACTTGTTCAACAGACTCAGTGTAGTGTTATATAACGGGGCTTTCAGATTTCCTCCAGCATTGTTGAACGCTTGAACTTTTCCCAAATCCTGAGCGATTTGGGTGCCCATCTCTCATTGATATTCAGCGGATTTTCCCATTGCAAATCCCAGCGTACAATTGATTTGAATAGCTTTGCATTCACCAGCATATCCAATAATGCTGAATCTTGGCGTAATCACCCGGCAATAGCTTGAAGAGCTAAAATGTGCTAATGTTGTCCAGTGATAAATGCTGTATCTTATTCAACATATCCTGTCTCATTGGTGAAAGCTCAGACCAAATTGAAATCTCTAAAGAGCTGCACCACTTATCTTTACTAAGTCAAGCGAAGCTTACGTTTTCATATCGAGTGGACTGTAATTTCAGTGTGAGCAGTAAGATTATCGAACTCGAGATGTTCCACCTTGGTGTATATAAATGAAGGAGGGTTGTAGTGTTACAGGCAAGGAACGTTACAATTACAGGCCTTTCAAAAGAGAGTAAAGATTTTGTTGTGTTGCTGTTTTTAAATTGGATACGTAAGAGCTAATTTTACAATATTCAGCATTACACAAAAGCATGGCCTTACAATATATAACTATTTTATAACTATTTTCTGTATAACTATTTTCCTAATCAATTGGAGATGTTTTCCATTGATTTAATTTATAATATGATTTTAATCTAAAATGTCAGTTTGAGACTCAGACTTCGTTTTCTCTCAAAGTAATTGTAGCCCTAGACTTCCTCCAGTCCCAAAAATAAGCTACAGGTTATTGGTGGGCTCCTATGACTTCCTGCTAAAGTTTAAAAAAAAATCAAAAAAAATCTGTTTCAGGGAACAAAAAGAATGAGTCTACGTTCTTTAAGGCAACGCCTTTGTTATGCAAATGAGACAGTTAATGGATGGAAAGTACAGTAATGAAATGGTACTTATAACTGAACCAGCTGAAGAGAGATTATTGAAGCTATGTTTTAATTTAAAAACCCTCTGTAGGGAAAAAAAAAAAAAATCTCCCAGTAAATGAATCTGGAGATATTTAGTTATGTTAAACAACAAACAAACAACAAAAAAGCAAAATCAGTTTTCTCTTCCCTTTTTATGGTACAATCCGTATACTCATGTGGTTTCTTTATATTTTATACAAGTTGCTTTATATTTTAATGACTGTGTGGACAGAGAGAAGGAGAGAGGGGTCATTATACATTGAGCATGCAAACTCCCCGTTTTCATCAGTCACAGGTGAATGAGTGTTTAGTTGCTTTTCTGCCTCACAATACTTGTTTGGCTTTTTAAACACAGAAATGAGATTCAGTAATTTCCCTTCTTAATGAGCCAGAAGTGCCAATTTCTTACGAAGTATTCATACTCTCTGTGCTTAAAACCAACAGCAAAACCTTTCATCAGCCTCAGTGAAAGGGACTCTTCCCCTCTAACCCTGATTTGAATGTCAAGTAGAACATTTAAATGCAAGCATTTTTGGCAGCTAAACTAATATATGATGTCTGGCACAATTGATTGTTTCGGTCAAGTATTTTTCAAATCAGGCCTGTACTGTAGGAGAGGGAAGGGAAGTTCTGCTCATAAGACTGCTGCGTCCAAGGTCTGTCCATTTGTCTGATGGAAGCTGATAGCTGCTAATCTTTCCCTCAAGTTTCTTCTGTCCCACAAGATAAAATTCCCAAGGCAAGTGGATTTTTATGGTGAAAAGAAGTGTATATTTGAGTGGCAGGAGGTTGGTACGGTTCTGAAACACCACATTAATTTTACGTGCCTTCCCTGAGCAGCAAGTGTTTTTTTGTCTCTACCCAGTCTCCTTTTTGCCACATGCTGATTTCATAGATAAGAAAAACGCAGATGTATCTTCAATCATCTTAAGACATGTAAATTTGTCTAATTGCTACTAATAAAGCATATGCCATCAGACTTCAACAGCAGCAGATGCTCGGAGGATGCAGAAAATGGCAGCAGGTCCATTTAGATGTCATTTTCCATGAGGAGAAGGGCAGGAGTGGAGGTCATGAAGTGAGTGAAGGTTGAAGGACCTGCACTGGGTGCTGTCCTCTGGCACCATGTTCTGTGCACCTCCACCTCTGCTTGCAGCAGTTGACACTGGGGACCCACGCAGGGATACACCAGTCCTCACTCCTGCTTGACAGACCCTGAGAGCATTTTGTGTCCCCAGGGGGAGAGAAGGGATGCTTTCAACTCCATCTGTACTTGGCATTTCCCCTCCAGCTTGCCTCTCCCTGCAGCCTGATGAAGGCTGATGTCAGCTCAGGGCTCCCCCAGGAGATGGCTGCTCCCCCTCCCATCCCTCTGCTTGTGTGACATTTGTAGGAACTTCCTGCACTCAGACCTGTGTCAGACTGAGCTGAGATCAAGGAGTGTGTTCAAAAATCGTCTGGAAACATCTGGCAAACATGGTGAAAACACATCTTCCCGTGGAAAAATGAGCTAAAAACCTGTTATTAGCAAACCAAGAGAACAACCCTGAAGTCTCTGTATAGACAACTTGTGTTTTGGCCTGTCGAAGTTGCCCATAACTACAGGGTTCATGAGGACCTCCCTTTGCTCTCCTTGAGAAAGGTCAGAGCTATCAGGCTTCAGCTGAACTTTGCAGTCTGTAGGTGCTGGTGGCCATGCCCAGCTCACAGCTTGCTGCTGCAGCACCGCCAGGTTTCCACGCCTGCAGGAGGTGCTACGCAGTCACACTGGCAGCTCGAGGTGATGCTCAATACAAACTGGTAATAAAACCAGCCTTGGAGCACTGTGGCTTTAAAGAGTTTGAAGTTTCACATTGGCTGAAGGAAATTCTTTACTCATTGAAGACAGGAAAATAAGGTCATTGTATTATATCCCTTGGAGCATATTTTTTTTAAGATGCCATTTGTTTAAGTGGCAAGTTTGGTTTGGTTTTACTGCAGATTTTCTTTCAGGATTGGTTTTCCCCTCTGGGACACAGGGGTTTGTCTTCCTGTTTTTGATGGTTGGAAGCCTGGGTAGCTTTTCCTGTACGATGTGCTCTGTATATAAGCGATCTCTCCTGAAATAAACTCACTTCCAGTTACTTAAGTGGAATCTAATAGCTGCTGCTTTGCTGCAGTTGCTCCGAGTGACAAAGAATTTCTTGGATATGAGCTTGTCAAATGGCTCTGTTGGTACAGGATGTTTGGTATTAATTTACTTCTATGGGGTAATTTTCCCGTATTAATTGCTTGTACATTATACCACAGACCAGTTAAATTGCTGCTTTCCCAGAGCTCGCTCAGTTCATTATGCAATGTTACAAAATGCAGGGGGTTTCTGAATATATGCGTGTTTAAAATCACTCACAGGTCTTCGAAGAATGAAGTAATCAACTTTGCATCCTCTCTGCTTCCTCCAGGTATCCTTGGTGGGTTTCTTGTTTTTATTAGGGCTGTACATCTCGTCCCTGGCCTCCTGCATGGGAGGGCTCTACGGAGCGCCCAGAATCCTGCAGTGCATCGCCCAGGAGAACGTGGTCCCCATGCTCGCCTTTCTTGGACGCGGGGTTAGTGATCCTTTCTCTGAAACTACTGACAAAACCCAACCTGAGGGAGAACTGCTGATATAAGGAGGCAGTATTTCTGTGTGTCTGTGGGGCAGGATGGGATCTGTGCACCCCATCTCAGCCATGCCCTGCCCCAGAGCTGTCAGTCCTGTCGCTGTACCAGGACAGCCCTTCCTGGGCTGTGGGACCTCCTCCTTTTGGTCCCTTTCTTTTGAGATGTCTCCAGGAAAACAGCCACTTATGATACAACTTTGCCTGTGATTTGTTTTTTGCAAACACCTGATCTAAGCCCGTGCCAGTCGTAATCGTGACCAAGGTACTTAGCTCTTCTGTGCCCACCCTTTCAGGGCAGAGGCCTGAAGCTTTTGTCTAACCACTCTGGTCAGATGGATGCTAGCTGCCTCTTTATCTTTTTGTTCTTTTCTTCTTCTTTCCTTCACTTTCTCTTTTGAAATCTTCCTACCTTCTTTGGTGACCTCAGAGCTGAGTACAGTGCTAGTCCCAGTGCAGTGGATTCAGTTTGTGCATACTGGAGAAGAGGACACTTCTTTATAGGGTGAGGTGCCTTTTGGGCTCAATAAAAATAATAAGAGAGTAGATTTGAAAGGTTAATTTAGGGGGCTGCTAAGCTTTAGATATACTTCGAAACAAAGCCTTGCTTTGAATATGACAAGAGGCTTTTTCCTTGTCCTAGTCACTAATCCTCATTCACATGAGTTGTTCCCCTCAGAACAGTCAAAGTCCCAGTCACTAAGGATTGTGTAGTCTTGGGCTATACGTTTAGAACAAAGTATTTCTTATGGATTTCCCTTTTTCTAACAGGGAGGAAAAAAATTCCATTGCTCTAAATAACCTGCAGCATCTAACTGTCTGTACTGAGCAGCTGGGAAAATCTTAAGACGTTTTACTCCTTCAGAGCAGCTTATAAATACAGAAAAAATATTTCACAATAGTAATATTTAAGATTGTTTTATAAGCATGATTATCTCCTCTGTCATTTTATATTTCTCAAAGCAATTCTTGAAACTGAAAGTCAAGATAATAGTCATAAATATAGGAGAATCAGGAATGGTAAGAACAACAAAAACTTCCAGCTACTGAGGATAGTTGTCAGGCAATCCCGGAACAGACTGTTCTCCATGTGGTGATGCTTGCCAAATTGTCAGTGATTTAGCCCTAGGACTGCAAAATTGATTCCCTTTCTTCTCTGATGGTTTTCTGTCTTTCTGTAATATTTTCTGCTCTGAACTCTGTCTAGGCAGAGTGCCACAGTGGAAGTGCTCAGAAAGAGGTGAGACGTTAAAGGCAGATCACTTTACCCGTTCCTTCTCTCTGCCACCTTGAAAAATGTCTAGATTTGGTTCATGGAGAGTTAATAAACGTAATTTGCCCTTAACAATCTGTTCCACATCAGTTCTTCTTTTCCATGGTTTAGGAAAGTGTTGTAGTCAACATAACCCCAGCTAATGTGAAGGACACTATTGTTTTCTGTAGTGCTAAACCTAAGCCAGAGGCATCCTGAGATCGTACCATCTGTTCCCTATCTCACTAAGTCTTTCTAATACCTAAGATGTTTTCTGAGAACCATGCTCACTTATCCCTGAGACATATTTCTCATTTCATTGTGAAAAGGCGTAAGGTCCAGAACCGGTCCCCTTTTCTATTAATAAGTTGGAGGAAACAGAAATAGTTTCCATTTGAGCTGTGTGTTTATTGAAGAAGCACATGCAGTAAATGAAAATGTAGAATGGAAAATGTTCCCCGTCTTGTGCTGGTGTTGGTGTGAGGGGGCTGTAAGAGCACCTTCCCAGCCCATTGCTGAAGTGCATCCCTCAGCTGCTATGCTGCTGGCAGAACTCCGTGTTGTGCCAAGATAACTTAAAGCATTTCCTTTTGATCCTTTTCAGAACTGAAGCTTGTCCTTAAGGGACATTGCCATGGTTTCAATTTCTACCTGTCTTTAGAAAGTCCTTGGAGGTGAGGAGTACAGGACAAACCCTGATCCCAAAAGGGCCTTGGCAGGGGCTCTGATGGACACTTAGCATCATTTCATCTGACTCTAGCAATGACTGAGAAAGGGCATTTTAGACCTAGGGTTAAAATTTGTGAGCAGATGGCTGTCTCCCCACTTCCTGATGTGCTTTGCTTTGTCTCTCTCTCATAGTCTCCCTAGCCTAACCCTGCCCCAAAGGAGAAGAACAAGCTGTGTTTCTCCTGGTTGCCTGCCTTCCTGACTGATGCCTGGCATTGCTGGTGCCCCCAGTGTCCTTTAGCTGCTAAACCTTTCTGCTGCTTTCCTCCTGGTGCTGGGCTGATGCAGCTTTCGCAGAAGGAAGGAGAAAATGCCAAGTACAGAGTCCCAGCAGATCATGGATTTAGCTCAGCCTTGAGTCAGGGCAGGGCCTGAAGCTACTGATACAAAAATGGCACAAAAATACAGAAATTAGAAATGAACAGTTAACTCTAATTAACACGTTTTGTTGCCAGAACACAGCCCAGACTTCCCATAGGCCCCACGTGTCTCTCTGAAAGTTTATTGCTGTTGTAATGCCATACTCTGAGATACAGAGGAGAGTTGATGAGTTTTTCCAAGACAAAGATTGAGTGAGGATCAGAGGTGAGGTGGGAACTCATCAGCTTTTGGCTTCCAGTCTGTTCTTTAATTTATTAAGCCAATGGGCCTCTGCTTGTGCGCATGGAGGTGTGTACATGTATTTCATGACTATGCATGTACCTGCAGACTGCTGGGGTAACCATTCCTTACAGCTGAGCCACCAGAGACCCTCACGGCAAAGCTCACGAGTATTAATTTAAATATGTTTCTTTTATTTATGTAATAGAAAGGACCCAACAGGACTCCAGTGGCTGCGATTTGCTTAACAAGTCTTATCACCATGGCTTTTGTCTTCATTGGGCAAGTGAACGTTCTTGCTCCGATAGTGACCATCAACTTCATGTTGACATACATTGCTGTTGACTATTCCTATTTCTCGATCTCCTTGTGCTATGATGATCAGCAAAAAGCTGGCAGGACACAGGTGGAAAACACTAAGCCTCCAACCTCTTCCCAGCCTTTGATTTTCAACAAGCCCTCCAGCCATGCATCAGATGGAGTAATTCAAAGCAGATCGAATGGCACCTTGCTGGAATTCACAAAAGACATGGACCAGCTTTTTAAACCATTTCGTAACGAGCCAAGTGCTAGCAAAAAAGGAGCTGAGAGTGTAACCCAAAAGGTCAAACAGAAAAAGGTGAAGAAGCCAGCCAAGCAAACGTTACAAGACAGCTTCCTTCTGGATCTTGATCACGATGCTCCTCCAGCTCAGTGTGGCTGGGATGAGACTGCAGAGTCCCACCACGAAAGCTGGCAGGACCTCACTGAGCAGGGCCACCAGCTGGAGGTGGGTCCGTGCTGGTCGCCTGCTGCGGACACCCAGGGGACACCTGAGCTGCTGGGGCAGGGGGAGCAGCTCTGCAGTCAGGTGCCAGCACTCTGCAGCCAGAAGGTGGAAGGTGAGTGTGTAGGAGATGTGCATCTCCATGCTTGCAGGGAATTATCTACAGTCTTAGTCCTCCTGGTGCTTTGCTGGAGGCAGGCGAGAAACTAGCTTTATACAGGGCTGTCATTCAGTGATTCATAGTAATAATATCTTTTATTACAGGTGAGGGTAGAGTTCATCGTAATGAATCACAGGAGAAGTTCCAATGTAATTTCCCATGGAAGATTAATCACAGGAAAGCAGGCAGGTCTCTATGTAGTGTAGGGCTGTTTACTGCATACTCATTATTCTACAAATGGGATCTTAACACCATACATTAAAAACATTTTGAGTGTTATCTTGGGCCTTATTTCACCATGATGTGGAGTAGGAGGGATGGAGCCTTGAGAGACTAAAACTCTGGCTGTGGAAATGAGATGATCCCCGTGCTGCAGGTGGAGGCTGTAATTTGTCATCCACAGCTAGGAATCTGAATTTATTTCGTTGGCAATATGGGTGTTTTGCCACAGAGGTTGTTGTCTCAGATCTATCAGCATTAGTCAATTAAGCTTCATAAACCCATGTGAGGGAGAAAAGAATTTTTGTTTCTTTTACAAACATGGGAACTGTGCCTCAGTTTCCATCGCAGGCAATGACATCTGTGAGTCCTAAAGATAGACTTAGTACCGTAGTTGTAATTTTTTTTTTCTTGATCATCTTTCATGCTTTCATTTTAGAAATTTTGGTTAAACTGTGCCACACTCAACTGTCACCTAGAATTTCTGGTTTGGCTTTTGGCAAAGTAGAAAGAGACCAACTCTTCAGCTCATTTTTAACATTTCTTTTTTTTTTTTTTTTTTCCTTTGCTCCTCTAGAATCATCGGTAAGGCAACAAAATCTAGAACTGGGAATTCAGCAAATTCCAGAATCATTCTACTCCAGATTCTGCAATCACTGGGTGTCCTTTGCTGGTGTAAGTAATTTTCTTTTATTTTGAGCACTGGTTTATCATATGGAAAGAAATTCATCACTTAGTGTAAATACACTCCAGTACTTTCAAATGGCTTTTGTTTCTGGTATCCCAGGAGGTCACCTGAACTAAATACTTAAGAGACCATAGACCCAGCGGTTCAAATTAAGAGAAAGGTAGATGGTGTTATTTAAAACAACAACAGCAATAAATAAACAAACTCCAACATCTTAGGACTTTTCTAGAGTTAAACATACATGGCTTGCTGGGAAAAAAATCACCATGTCCCTCTTTTCACTATGAACCAAAGAGCCTGCTTTTGCTTGCCTGTGGAATGGATTGAGACAGTCAGATTCAAAGCTGTGTTATTTTTATTTATGAAACAGATTCTGCAAGCTTGGGGTGGGGTTTCAGCAGCACTGAACTCCTGATCAGAGCTGCCTGGCTGTGAAATTCCACATTTTGAGGGAGGAAAGCGGAGCATTCCTCTAGCATGTTACTTTAAAGAATAAATGACTTTTAAATTGCTTGTTCCTGAAGCCACGGAAGAGTTTAGGACATTTAAATTCTTCTTGGGAAGACGGATTAATGGGCAGATAACAGGAAAAGGGTCAGATATGGATAATGAGTGAACCATCTGGCTTTGCTGTATGGATGGGGATTTTTAATAGCTGTACGTAAAACATAACAAACACCCTTGAACAACATACTGAACCCTTCTAATTTAATCCTCAGAGTTTGACACCTACTTTTCAGATTTGCTGCTCTGGCTGCTAGCAGCCAACTACTGGAGAAAGGTCTTGCCAGACCCTGGCGCAGTGGGTGGGATGGATGCTGGAGGCTCCTCTCTAGCGATGACATCTCTATGAGGTTGCACGCTAATGCTCTCTCTGGGCTCAGTAACTAACGGGGCCCCCAAGTGTTTGTTATCGTGGGGTTCAGAGTGGTCAGCTCTGCCTTCGTGGGGGAATTGGCTTAAAGAGATGACTGATGTGCTCATTAAAGCAGATTTGGTTTCCTGTCAATAGTCAGACTTGAGAGGAGTTTGCAACAGAGCTAAGAGATCAACACAAAATAAAATCACTGAAATAAAATCAGATGCACTTATTCATCCAAGCTCCTTTCCCCTCTGCCTCATCTTCAGGCTTCACCAGCCATGTCAGCCGTGACTGCTTTAGCTCTTACGTGCTGTCCCTTGCTTTGCCTAGCCTGATCTGTGAAGATGCTGCGATGCTGCTTCTGCCCCACTCATATACCCCTTGAGCCACTTCTACCCTGCGAGCTGGTGAGGCTCCAGATACAGCTTCATGCTCCTAAATAGTGACCTGTTGGCTGCTGCAGCTTGGAGCTCCCTGTGGGCTAGCCAACACTTCCATGACCTACAGCTGGTGTATGTTTGAGTAGCCCAAGCAAAAACTCTGCCTCTAGGACCCGAGGTAGCTCACTAAAAGCTACCTGCATGCTGCTAAAGGTGACAGTGCAAGCCTGTGCTGTCCCTCATTATGAGTGAGACCAAATGAAGCTCTGTATAGCATGGGGAACTCCTTGCTGAGAAACCTCAGCCATACCATACCCAAATCTTTTCTGATAATACTGGATAGAAATGCTTTATGTGTGGCCAAAAGCCACTCGCCATGGAGTGCTCTGGAAGCAGGAGATGACGTGGTTCCTCCAGGGACCTGCACCACAGCCCTCAGCTGCTGATGCCCGTAAGGTCCATCCACCCACGGTTGTGGCTGCTGTCATTCCTCCCATGGGCAGGGTGCGGGCTGTGCAGTAGATCTCGTGCAAGGAGAACCTTGGCTCTGTCCCCATCACAGGGTGTTATTAAGAGGCAGACACCTCAACAGAAACACTCATCAGGGTAAAGCTGAATGTCTGAATCCTAAGTTTAGATGGTGCACATCTCTTACGCAGTATTCCTGAGAGGGCCTGAGAAAGACAGATGCAGAGGTGCCATCAAAGCACTGTTTTTACATGAATTTGAAACACAAGGTTCAGCATTTCTAGCAATAAATAAATAAAAATGCAGTTACTGATGCTTTCATAACAGCTTGAGAACCCCAGCACTGCCTCACTTATTAACAAGGTTTTATTGGAGTTGTAAACCATGCTCAGATTGCAAGATTAAAGAATAAATTTCTGAAACCATGTGAAGCTGTGTGTGAAGGTGGGTAGTCCTCCTCTGGCATGTGCCTGCCAGCTCTCCATGGGCCAGAGCAAGAGATGATCAGAGCTTCTCTGGACTTTGCAGAACAGCTGTCAGATTGACAGCAGTATGCTACCTCGCTCTGGAGCAACCCTAAATCTTGTCTTTTCAACAGGCAATCGTGTCCCTCATCATAATGTTTGTCATTCAGTGGATCTACACCCTTGTCAGCCTGGGAGCAGCAGTTATTCTGTACTTCTACATTGGCCAAGTGAGTCCAGGACTCCCCCTGGGTGAGTAATTTTTTTCTGTATTATTAAATCTGCTTAAAAATTCATTAAGCTTTAATTTAACTTAATTAGGAATTGAGATGCTTGTGTTTAATATGCAGGTGGCACAGTGAGTGATGAGATTTAATTTCTTTGGTAGTTTCAATGCATTTTATGTCTGGCTCTTTAATATTTGATTCCAACTGTAACTAGCATTAGCCTGATAGTTTGCACATTGCGCTTGCTTTTCGACTGTACTGTACTTTAAATGGCAAAAGCAGATTCTGAGACTTAACAGGGATGGCAGATTGCAAACGTATCGTGGCAATGAGAAAAATCTGTTTTAAAAAATCTGTTGTAAATACATTTTAATAAATTTAATTAATCGGTCTAAAACCACCTGAGAAAACTTTAATGAAAACGGGAATTATGACAAGTATCTCATTAAATCTCAGCATTCATAACTGCAAAACAAGAGAGCCTTTTGATTCCAGATCTAAACAGGTTGAATATGTTAGGAACGTAATCTGGGAAAATACTCTTAGGCAAAGGGCTTTAAAAAGGTCTGTGCATGTGATGGGCTTAAACAAGTTCAAAATTAAATATTGAAGTACGCTTGAAAAAGCAGCTCATAATTGCATAGTCCTTGGCACGGAGGCAGGAGAGGTTTGCATTGGTCTGCTTCTGAAGGGAGAGGGTGATACACACACAGTCGGTTCTTGCTCGCGTCCATATGCATACATATATATGTAGGGGTATAATGTGTACGTACCTGCATGCATGGATGTGCAATGTTTTGTTTGGCACCTGGCTGAGAGAAGTCAAAAAACCTGAGTTTGTGTCTTTTAAACAATGCAGAGGTAGCCACCTGTGTTTATTTAGATAAAAGGTTATTTGGCATTCGGTGAGTAGACACCAGATTTCAGAAACCCGTGCTGTGAGAAAGCAAAAATGAGTAGTCGTTCAGGAACTATCAATATATCACTCACCAATCTTTCTACTACAGCTGATTTCTTTTTTATTTATCTGTATGGGGTGGAAAAGAGTTGCTGTGAGCAATCTGAGCTAGCACAAGCTATCCCTGCTCTCGGCAGGGAAGTTGGACCAGATGATCTTTACAAGTCCCTTCCAACCCACACAGTTCTGTGACTTTGTGAATTAGTTCTTCCTACTTGCAGCTTTGTATCTTTGGAAATACATAAATTTTACTTTAACAAACTTTTTGTACTGCCCCCAAATACTGAACAAAACACAAGTAGTGTCTTCAGGCCTTAGGGTTTTCTTTGCCTTTGTTTACTCACTGTTACATCTTTGTTATTTTCTTTTTAAATATTTCCAAAAATGACTCTAAAAAGAATTTCTCAGTGTGTAGAGGATTATGGAAAGTGATTTGAGAAATGACAGCATAATTAAACATTTTTGTCCTGGTTTGTTTTGCACTTGTGTTCCCATGCATGCTGTAAAAAAGCACATGGCAAAGAAGTTAAAAATGAACACACAAAGTTCAGCCTGATTTTTATTTGGTTGTGAGTGAAAATTATTTTTGCAGTTGCACCACATCAAATGACCCATTTTGTTCTTCAAAAGACTGCATGACCATTCTATACAGAGAAGTTGTGGCACACTGTCTTGAGAGATGCTCTGAAGTAAGGACTAGATGAAAACCTCAGGAGCAGTGGCTCTGCCACAAGAATGCTCCATGATTTTGATGGGTCCCTCCTCCTCTCTCTTTCCCTCCAACAGCCTAAAAAAAAAATCCAGCAGTTGTTGCTGGGTCTCTGCTCTCCTCCCTATCCCTCACCACAGACTTCGGGGGCTGCTTTTGCTGCCAGCTCCAGAACTTATCTGCCCCTGCAGTTAGCCAGTGCAGGAAATTAATTCTACAGAAAAAATCCCAAAATAAACCTTGGTGTTGATCAAATAAGTTAAACCAGCTCTCTGTGGGGACAGCCAAGAGGGAGCAGTGAGACCACGGCCACCGTGGCTTAGCAGCTCTTTCAGTCTCCCCATCCCTGCAGTGGGAATGGTCTTTGCAACCTAAGGAGGAGAAGGTGCTGCAGCTGGTATCTTTGCTTTGGCCACCGCTTTGCTGGTATTTTAACAAGCTGTCAGTCTGGGAAGGAATAGCTGTTCTCCATATGAACTTTGGGTTAGATTCTCAGCAATCGTTTAAAAGCCACAGCGAGTGGGAAGACTTCAGAATTGTTCTCACAGTTGCTAAATCTTTGTGTACTGAAAGCTAGTAACAAACATGTCAGTTTGGGATTTTATGCAAAAAAAATTAAATGGTGAAATGCTATTATGAGGGAATTAGCAACATACTGACTTTTCATGTCTTTTCTCTGTAGGAGCAGCAGCGAATTTCAGTTTGTTCAGCTGGATTAAGTCAGCTTTGATCACCTCATGCAGGTTGGTACCAGTCACTTGGCAGAGATCGAGGCGGTGCTTCTTGTTCCCACTAATGTGCATGGGAAGAGTTGACCTGCTTCTTACCTCAAGCAGTCTGCCTGGCCCTTCCTGGGGACTTGAAGTTCTTAGTTAAAGGCAAACAGGGCTGTTGGCTTCAGTTAGTCCAGTGCTGATGTATCCCAGTGGCTGAAGCTTTCTTGGTCTTACTCTCCAAACCCCAAAGGTCTGTGCTCAACCTTGGAGGAACAGCTTGAACCCAAAAACACAGTAGTAAATGAGGAGTGGGAGACTCCAGCTCTTCCACCCATGGCAGGTGGTGAACTGCTGTGGTGGTGGAACAGGTACACAGGCGCCAGCTGGGCTGGAGTGACAGAGGGGAGATTTAGGGGGAAACAGTAATAGCTGCAGAGGCAAATACAATAAACAAGGTCTTCAGTGAAGGAACCATTCAGTATCAAGTTTGTATGGGATTGCAGCAGAAAATATCTTGGTGTTTTTCTTCTCAGAAGGCCTCAGAGCTTTTATTTGGTTGGATAGTAACTGGTTTTGTTAATTTATTTTGATCCTATTAATTATTAATTCTGTCATGTTTGGGTTTCCCATGGGGGTAATGACCATCTCTGCTGCTGTACAGAGCAGTGGGATTTGGGGTTCCTAATCTGTTTGGCTGTTCTACTATTGCAGTGGGGGAGCACTGTAATAAAGACCATATAACATGAGCTGCCAGGCATTAGGTGTGCAAATTTGGTGGCTTGTTTAAAATAAATGAAGGTCCAGGCACTTAGGCATGTTGGCACGTGTGTATGCCTGTCTTGCCAGCTCCTGTCTCTGCCCACTGTCCCTATAACATGGCTACATGCCTTTGGTGGCAGAGGTGGCTCAGGAGAGTGGCCAGAGGTGATGGGACCTCTCTTAGATCCCCATGAAAGGTCTATGGCATGGCTGAGAACAGACACGTCGGGTCTCCTGCATCACCATCCATAGCTGCCTCTACCAGACCAGTGGATCTCCCCAGGTGTGGGGCTGCCCTGAAGACCCAGCTGTCCTGCAAACCTCTTTTGCTGTGAATAGCTTCATTTATGCAGCTGCAGCTGCCTCTCATGGCAGTTGCATAAAGCCACACACTTCCCTGTTAGCGGGATGGGAGCCCAAGTCAGACAAGCTACAGGAGGAGCGAGGGGGTGTCAAGGGTGTGCACTGTGCTTTGTGCGTGTCTCATTTGGAACAAGGGGTTGCCCCCTCCTTTCTCCCTCTCACTCACCATGTCTGCTGCACTCCTAACACGAGCCAAAGCCAGGGGTGAAGAGGTGAGGAGGAGAACAGGGCGCACGGGGCTGTGCTGGAAGCGCTGCCAGAATTACTCATTGCAGGGTGAGTCAGACCCCGCTGCTTTGTGTCCCAGGCATTTAACTGTCCTGTTCCGCCTCGGTGTACAGCCGCATCCACTGCCTGTAATTTTGCCGTGCTGCAGCTATGATGATGGAGCAGTTTTTCCTCCTGCTTGTCCCTCGGCACTTCTCAACCCTGCCTGTTGTCAGATGCTCCCTGTGGGAGGCTGGTTAACTTCACGGACAGCTGCCGTATGTGGCTGGGAGTAGGAAAGATGAAGCTAGCCCTTCCGGAGAGGCAGCCCTCGTGCTCCTTGTGGGCAGAGGTGTCACTGGTGCCGGGTGTTTTGCCCTGCAGGTTATCTGGCTGGCACAGGCCTCAGCGCTTTGATCAGTGCAATCGATGAGGAGAGGCTCTGTCAGGGAAGATGGAGTGAGGAACTGGCAGCAGCCCAAGACAGAGACTGATCTTTCTTCTCTCCCCCCTAAGACTGCAATCTCTGAGCCAGCCAGCTTGGTAACCTCATCCTAATGCCAGGGATCCTGCTCGAGCTGGTATGGACACAGTTTTAGCTCTGCTTGGGGGCCGGGTAGGTTGTTTTGAAGCCCACCTTTGCTACGCTGCAAGAAATTGCATTGAAATCACTTGCACATTTTTCCTCAGCCACAATTTCTTGAAATCCAAGCAAGACACATTAAAAAAATTGAGGTAAAGAAGTCACTGCATTAGAGTGCAAGAGCACTGAAAGCAACCAAGGATCCATGGCACCTCAAAGAGGGCTGAGTCAGTGTTATAAGGTCCTCCAGTTTTGATTTGCAGGTGTGCAGTAAGGTTTTCTTAAAGTTGGCCTCTGGGAAAAAGAAACTGCAGGAAGGTCTCCTCTTATATTTAAAAGAGGAAAAGAGTTTCCAGCCTACATGGTCTCAAAAGTAATCGAAATGTACACGAAAGCTTAGGAAACTATAAGAAGGATATTTTTCATTAGCAATAGTTCGTGCTCCTTCTTTTCCTGCACCGTCTGGAAACTGGCAGAGCCAACGTTTGGAGCAATTCCAAAGAGGAAATGTATTTGCTAAGAAAATGTATATTTTCCAGTGTTTATGAGGGAGGAGGTTGAAGTATAGTTTTTGCATGCCTTCTAGGAAACTGTTTGCAGATTAACTCTCTGCCTTCCGAGGGCAATGCAGCCCCTTCTCCAAGTGCCCTGCCATGGCACAGCCGGGTGCGTGGCTGCTAACGGGTCGTGCCTCTGCTTCTGTGTTTGCAGGAGAAGGCCATCTCCAAAGGAGCAGATCGTTGTGACACCGGCCTTTGCGACAGTTGGCATGGAGACCACGCAGCTCACCGAGGAGAACGCAGACTTTGCCTCTCGAGACCGCTATCACCAGTCCTCCCTTATCAGCAGAGAAGAGTTTGTGAATCAGTTTCAGTAAAGGGGGAGGACAGAAAAAATACCGAGCTGTTGCTTCTGAAAGGGCTGATAAGTGCTAGTCCCTGCCACGGGGCCTTGTGAAATACTTGAATGTATATGGAAAGGATGTGAATAGTTATTTACATATTCAAGACTTGTTTGTTTATGCAAACTACAGCAAGCCCAGGTTTCAAACCGTATCCAAAAGGGAGGAGGATAAAACCAACACGCAAATGAAAGGGCCGATCCAGTGAAGTGATGAGTTACTGAGAATGATATAATCCTTTAAAAAAAAAATCAATTATAAGCACTACTGAGCTCTGAATACTGCCGCTGCTGTAAGAGCTAACAACACCCGATTTCAGATGTCCTCTAGGGGAGCAGGGCAGCAGTGTGCATTGTATTTGCGAGCAGTGACCTCAGATGCAGGAGCCGAGTGCCCGGTCCCAGCTGTGCCACCGATGGATGCGACCTTCCAGGTCAATTCACTTCTCCTCCCGGCGTGAATTTGCCTGCTTGTGATACAGCAATTTTCTACCTCAGTGTTTCAATTACCAAGGTCTTAGAAAGTACTTTGAGGCATTAGACAATAGGCCAGAACCAGTGGCAAGTGCAAGAGGATTATGAAATATATTCGTAACTGGAATCGAACCTGCGCGTTTCTATGCAGTAATGCAGTATAATGAACTCTTCTCTACTGTGAAACCACGAACTGATGCCTTAGCATCTTTTCATAGTGGCTTCCCACATCCTTTCTGAAACAAGAACCAAGACGTAAAATCAAAGCTATCTCCAAATACAGCATCTCTTGGATAAAAGGAGAGATGATTCAGAAGTGCCTTAACAAAATGCATTTTGCTAATTCTGCTTCAAGCTCATCCTGTGCTGAGCTTTATAGATGTATGCACCTAAGTAAGAGGGGGAAATCGCTGCCTCTCGCTTCCTGTAATCTCTGATCATTTCAGCCATTAAATTATTTATTTCTTCTGTGCAATAAAAAAACTTCAGACAGCAGAAATGCCTCTCTGTGCTAGCTGTGGGCGGGTTCAGTGCCTCTGAACACTGGAGCTGTTCGGGGCTGTGCCCCAATGTTGGGGACCCTCTGTCCCACCACGTGGTCTGATCTGCTGTGGCTTTGGCTCTCCAGGTTTCTTAGAAAGGGGACCAAGGGAGACTTTCAGCTGAGATGAAGAAGAGAACAATCCTGCAATGGTGCAGAAAGCATTCATTTTTCTAGGTTGCAGGTATTTCATTAAATATCTGTAACCTTGTCTTTACTATGTCAATAGAAGCAAGCAGAAAACGATGGCCAATGCTGAACTACCTCACGTCATTCTCTGTTGGGAGCTGTCCTGTCAGGATTTCTTGCTTTTTGTGTTGGATTTCCAAACGGTGTGGATCTGCTGTTTGGATGTGTTGAAGCTTCCTCCAGGTCCTCTGGGGCCACCTGCGTGCTCAGGAGAGCCCTTCCTGTGCTCACAGCATCAGGACACATCTCGCAGTGCTGAATTAAGAGAAAAAATGAATAGCAAAGGCACAGGGCTGAGTTTGGGGATGTCTGTGCTGGTACACGGTAGGCAGAATTACACGGATTCTTCTCTGAAGACAACTCTGAGAAACTTTGCTGGTGCTTTGCTCTTATCAGTTCAAAGCGTGGCAAGATAACAGTCAATTTTTATTGTCAGCTATTAAGATCAAATTAACTTATCTTTGAGCTTGGCAGTTGCTGCTGTTGTGCAAGCTTTCAGACTCTGCTTGGAGCTGATCCACCTCGCTGACAAGCCGCATGGTGCTGTGCTGTCTCCTGCTAGAGTTTGATACGCGACCGCAGCACCGGGGCTCTGAGCCCTCGGGTTTCAAAGAGAGCCCCTGTGTGAGCACTGCGGGGTGCCTGCCCTCCCCAGCATGAGCTTGCCCAGCCCTGCAGCCTCAGGAGCACAGCTTAAACTCAAGGAAACCCCAGAGCCCAGCATGAAGTGATTAATGAGTGGAAATCCCTGTGTTAACCTCGTTAGCTCCCACACAATTTAGTTCCCTTCTTAAAGCCAGGCAGCACTCAGGGGATTCTGGGGAGGGAAGAGAGCAGGTACTGTGCTCACCAGACCCCACAGGGGAGCCGTGCTTCCTGCTCTTCCCCAAAACCAGCAATACAAACAGCTCCTCCCTTTGGCTACCAGGATTTCGGCCAGCTCTCTCAGGACAGTGCTCACAGCTTTGCTTGTGGCCACAGCCCTGTGAGTGCTCCAGGTGCAGCAAAACACCTTTTGCCTGGGTTTTCTGCGCTTTGGGCTCTACGTGCTGCTTCTGGAGAAGCTTTCCCCAAAGCATCCACCCCTCCTGGCATCACCAGCACGGCAGGTACCAGGTCCTGCACCACGATGTAAGGCTGGCATTTGGTCTTTTCCTCCCATCAGGCCTGCAAGAGGAGTGCATCATGTGGGGCTGGTTTCCTCACCACCACTGTGTTGTAAGTAGAGCAACTTTCCTTTTCAGTGCTCAAGAAGGGGTGTGCTCATCTTTCTCAGGGCATTAGCTTTGATGTAGTTAACAGTGACGGTGGAGGGAAGGCTTGTTTCAGGAGCCACCACCTCCGAAGGGATGGGGACAGTGGTGTTAGGAGCAGTCTGACCTGCTTCCTCATGCATCCTGTGCTTTTGAAAAGCCAATGCCAGTCGAAAATCAAGCCTGTGCTTTATTTTCTTCCCAACCACTGACTTAATCCTGACAAGGCCTGTGGTTTGGGGTACCCTGATCAACCTCAGAGCAACCATATTTGGGGTTTCTGGCTGGTCTCCCCTCCTGTAACCCCACAGACTCGTCCACTTGTGAGGCTGGATGAGTTCTGACCCCACTGGCATGCAGGCCTTTGTGTATCAAGGAAGCTTCTTTAGGAAGAGAGGAAGGCTAATAGCATTGCAGATCATCGGGGTGCATTGTCAAAAGCGTCTGTAGCTTTTGTAGCACTCTAAAAATGCATGAAATTAGGGATAGCAATTTGTCAGCTTAACATTTAGTGGTTGAAGGGAAGTAATGTGGGTGGCAATTCCTGCTGTGAGTGGGAAGTGTTCCTTCTGCCCACCTGGGAGCCAAACTGTGGCTCTGGCTGCTGCAGCTTTAGTGAACACTCAGCATCCCTGAAGATCAGCTTGGGGCCCAGCTTTAAGCCTTATCTGTCCACTGCAAGTTGCTTTTTGGTTAACGTCCTTCTGAAAAGACCCTTCTATCTTTTTAGCCATGTGAGCTTTGTCATCATCTACAATCTGCTTTCCTTGGAGTTCATGGAATTGTTTTTAAGAAATTAGGACATTTAGCAATGGTGCAGGGAGGGAGAAGATTTGTGTTTGAGAGATATGTGGATGTAAAAGGGCTTTTTTTTTTTTTTTTAAGGCTTCAACTGTAGGCTGCTAGATCGAGTTTTGACAGGTTCATTTGCAGAAGATATAAGCACAGACGGTAGGATAAATATTTTATTATTTGCCTTGCAGTCTCGCCGAGAAGCTCATGCTGTGTTTGTGATGCCACAACATTAACAAGTGTCCAGAAATCAGAATCTTCTGCCTCAAAACACTTGCAACACAAATAAGGTTGAGAATGGGCAGGAGGAAAGCCAAGTTTCATTATGATATCGGCGTTAAACGACAGCTCCTTGGTATAAGTTGCCATCACCCCCTCGGGTCTGTCTGTGTTCCCCCATCAGGAGTCTGCTCAGGGAGAGCCAAACCCCTTAAATCCAGAGCTTAACCCATATCCATATTTCTTTTTTCTCCCCTCGTGGCTCTCTCTTGTCAGATTTGGGTATCCTTGGATGTTTTTTGTTGTGTATGTTGGCCAAAAAGTCTCACAGCTAGGGTGGTCGCTTTTCCTAGCAGGTAACAGCGATCACAGAAGCAGCATGACAAAACGTGCTGAATAAAGGACGATTCTGTGCGTGGGCTAATGCAGGAACAGGCTCCCTGCAAGAGTGAGGCAGTGTGTTCTCACTCCTGCCTCTCTGGTTCACTTTCTGGTTCAGGCAGGCACTGTTTCGTGTGGCATCATGCCCCCACCTGCAAGGCTGGACGAGATGTGCTGAATCACAGCAGCCAGCCTAGGGTTGTCATTTAAATCAGCGGGAAAATGAGGTTATTTGAATTATTGCCTTTGTCTGGTGAATTCTAGAAAGGGCAATTACTGCAATAAACGAGAGAAAATTAAAAGATTATAGTCAACCTATAAATCTGGTAACTCCATATAAAACAGGAACGCAGTGAACTTACATTCCTGATTTCACAGTGCTGAGACCCAGATCTGGTGTAACGGCATTTAAACCCGAGACAAGGCGAGACCTCTGGGTAAAACAGCCCAAAAAGCTGTGGATGAGAGGCTCTGGCAGCCAACTGCGGGCTGGAAACACAGAGCCCTAAAGCTGTGGGGTGCAACAGAGGCTCCTTCCCCCTCTGCCCCTCGTGGCTTTGGGATTTGCCCGGATTTGGGAGGTTCGTGAGCAGAAGCCTTGGGGCTGCTCGGCAGAGCCCGGTGGTACAGGGGTGCACCTGTAGCTTTATGGGATCCAAATGCTGCTCGTGAACCTTGGCAGCAGCAGCAGCAGCTTCTTGGATCGCGGCGGTGCTGCTGTGCAGGGCTGTTGGGAGGGCTGGGTTGTTCTTGATGCGCTCCAAACCAGAGCTGGCTGAAAAGGGTCCTGAAAGAAATAAATCAGAGGTTTAGAGTTGCTTCTTACCAGATAGATTGAAATGGCTGGGGTTTTTTTTTCTTCTTTTCCAGAAAATGTTGGGTTTATTTCCAACAACGGGATTCAAAAGGCAACATTTTGTATCCAGTGGCTTTATTTTGTTGTGCATTTTTCTGTGAGGGATGAAAAGAGAGCACAAGACCCGTATCCATCCTGACCTCCAAATGTCAAGGATCTGGAATGAGCTGCTTCCAAGGGAGGTACGAGGCAGGCATTTCTTGTAAAAATAAATCAATCAAGCACCACTATCCCCAGAATTTCAAGAAAAATGTTTAGGTGCTAAGTGCTTTTTGGATGATTGGGATCCATTAATGGATGGCTTACAGCATCGAGAGGAGACGGCGAAGGTAATTAATTGCTTGGTTAGGAACTATCTGTCCACTTCGGAAACTCAGGACTTTTAATAACAAATTCCAGGAGTAGAAAATATTCACTTTGTACCTTAATTCATCATCAGCTTAAAACTTGTCTGAGGTTTATGAGCCTGATCCAAGTTTTAGACAGATCTGGGCTGCGTTTCAAGCGAGCTGCAGGAGTTTCATGATGTTGGCTGGGGCTGTGAAGGGTTCCTATAGAACTGACGAGAAGTGACCAGTGAGTGTAATCCTTACGAGGTGTTACGGAGATGCCTCTTCTGTAGAAACTCCTGGTTTTTTTAGTGATTTCAGGCTGAAACAATGCAGAAACTGGTAAATTGGGCTGTGTGCCTCCAGCCCCTCAGACTGGAACGTGGAAATCAAGGTGAAACAAAAACAAACTGTTTTTCCTCCCCCAGAGCAGGGTGATGGGTGGGATTCAATTAATCAGCATTTACTATCAATCATGTTTTATATAGTAATGTTGGAGGCTTCCTGTGTTGCTGTTATTCTTTTTAAACTCTTTTTTGAGTTGAATGTGCTGCTTTTGGATGGAAGCATTGAGTGTATTTATACGTAATTTGGGGAGACTTTTAGGTCGCAGCCTCTTTCAGGAGGCATTGTTTGACATCAAGGTTTGCTTGGTCCTTCTTGGGAAATTAATTCCATGCATTTAAATCTCCCATTACTGGGGAGCCACGAGTGCTGGTGCCATGTACAATGCCACGGGGATGCACAGCTCAGGGCCACGCGGGGAGAAGTGAACTGGAGCTCACTTGGTGAGCTGGACCTCAAAAATAGCAGAATTTGTTGTGAGTTGACTTCTTCAGTGTTAGGATGTTCCTCATTGAAGCAACAAAGGTAGGACTGAAGTGACGTGGCAGGAAAAGGCGGTAGCCTGGCATTTACAGCCACGAGGCCTTGGCAAATTGGGCAGCTGGTGGGGGAAGGGATCATGTTTGGGAAATACGAAACAGCCTGGACATCGGCGCTTCCTTTCCAGGTGCCTGTGAATAACACACTGTGACTGGAGCTGTGACGGAGCGGGGATAGCTTTTTCTGTATGGTAAATACTGGGTTGATGGTACCAGCTCCCATCACGGTGCTTTTTTCACAGCCTTGGGTGTTGTAGGAGAGGCAGGGCATGGCGGGGGCCCTGCTGTGCACCACTGGGACACCAGGAGGTGGGGACACTCGATACCAACCCCGTCTTCCTCAAGGTTGTTCTTTCAGTGACGTTTATTTTGCATTTACGCGCGGCTGATTTTGTTCTCAACGTGCCTGTTGAGTAAAACAGTAGGAAGAATTTACGGAGACTTGTTGGAAGAGCAGTGGATCCCGCGCTTCCTGCTTGCTGGATTTACAGCTTCGGAGGATGCGGAGTGCTTGTTGTCGTAGGAGTTGGTGGCGGGGAGTCATGCACTTGGTGCGAAAGGATATCCCCCAGCTATTTGAGCTGCTGCTCTGCATTCCCTGGGCCTTCTCCCAAAGTAGCAAGCTACAGCTCCTCATACCCGCTTTAACTCTTGATGGCACATCGCTTCGCTGAACGTGGGTATCTCCATCATGTTGAGGAGGAAGCCTTTTTTTTAGGCGACCTGTTCTGTAAGGTGTGGGTGAATCCCTTGGCGTAGGCTGGAGGACCCCAAGAATGTCCTGTGCAGACCACGCAGCTTGGTGGCCGCTGCCTGCAGCTTCTGGGTCGCTCAGGTGGCCCCAGCTGCCAGGGCTGGGGTGTTGCCCCGTGTAATGAGAAGCGGGGTTGCGATGTGCTGGTTCGTTTCAGGGAAAACCATAATAACGGGATGCCAAATCCCTGTGTCCGGGACTAACTGGACAAGCCCCTGTCATTCCCGTACTTGTGTGGGCTCATCAGTGCCACCTTTTGGGTGGAAAGAGGCCTTCAGGAGGGTTTGTGTTTGGTAGCAGGCTACTTGCTTCTCTTTTGGTGAAGGGAGAAAGAGGGAGCAGGGGGTACAGCCCACATCGGTGTTTGGTGCTGGATTCCGTGGGTTGTCGCTTGCCAGCTGTGTTCAAAACACCATTTTCTGCTTGGCTGGGGGAAATTCAGCCTGAACCTGAAATAAACAGCTCAGGGAGGGAAAGCAAAGGGCGTGCAAGCATCCCAGGGGGGAGAGGCTGCCGAGGACGGGGTGCTGCTGGTGTGTGGGGCTGGAGGGCTCGCTGGGGACACTGCGCCCAGGCTCCTTGGGGCTGCCAGCAGCCAGGGCCGAGCCCCAGCCCCAGCTCGGCGCTGTGTGCTCTCGCTGAACCAGGAGCGCGGGGCGAGGAAGGGGAATTTCAGAACAATAAAGGGAAATCCTCTGCCTCCCGTGCAGCACAGCCTGGGAACTCACCCCCGCAAGAAGCTGCAGCCGCAAAAAGCCGCTGCTGGCACGGCGAAGCCGGCAGCGGGTTCGCTTTATAACCAATAAAAGCTTTCAAAGTTACTCGGCAGGGGCTCGAAGGCGCAGCCGGGAGGGGGCTGGAGCCTGGGGGCTGCCCGACGCCCCCCGTGCTCTGCCCGGAGCCGCTGCGGCGGTGCCCCCCGGGGGACTCGGGCATCGCCCCCCCGGCCGCTGCCGGGTGCCCGGGGGAGGCCAGGCCGGGGTCAAAGCAGCGCAGGAGCGGGGCCGGCCCGGGGGAGGGATGCGGGGGGGGCCGTGCCGAGCCGTGCCGAGCCGTGCGGGGCCGCGCCGGGTGATGTCAGGCTCGAGGAGGAGCCTCGGCCGCCTGCCCTTTTACTTTCGGCCGCCGGCACTTGGCCGCAAGCTGCCGCCGCCGCTGGCCGACCCCCCCCTTACCCCCCCACCCCCGGCGCTATGGGCACCCCCACACCGGCCTGGCTCGTCCCCCGGCGGGCATGTGAGCCCCCCTTCGTCCTCCTCCTCCTCCTCTTCCTCCCCGTCCCGTCCCCAGCGCCATGCCGGCAGCCTGCACCCTGCTGGTGCTGCTGGGGCTGGGGCTGGCCCCGCCGGCCGGGTCGCTGCCCCTCGCACCCCCTCCTCCCCGGCGCCTTCCTCCTCCTCCTCCTCCTCCTCCACCTCCTCTTCCATCGCCCCGCAGCCGCCTCGGCCGCCCCTGCTCGCCGCCCGCCGCGGGACACGCCGGCCGCCCCGGTGAGTGGGGTCGGGATGGGGACGGGGGGACACACTGGTGGATAAAGCCGGGGGGCTTTATCCGAGCCCCCTGCCCCGCTTTCTGGGGCTTCCCGGAGCCCCCCGGGTGCTGGGATCCTTCCAGAGGTGAAGGGAGCCTGGGGGGGAAGGAGCGAACGGGACGTGGGTGCACGGGTGGGCAGCGAGCCCACGCCACGCATGGGACAGGTGCGTCGGGGTGTCTCCGTGTCACCCCAACCCAGCACATCAGTCACCTGTAAAGTCACGGCTTTCCTCGCCTGCCACATCTGTGAGCGGGAGCGGGGGCTGGCGTGGTGCTTTGCCGGTGATGCCGGGGCTGGTTTCAGCACAGGGAGTGGGTGGGCTGGGTTTTTGGTAGGAAACGCAGAGCTCGCTTCATCCCCTTGTGATGGGGTTTACCCAGGTGCCAAGAAGAGACGGGGCTCACAGGATGAGTAAGTCCTGATGCGCTGGGGGAGCTGGTGCTGGGCGGCTGCAAGTGGGCTAAGGAGCTCCAGCACGTCAACACAGACCTGTGTGGGTTTTGGGTCCGGACGGCTCATCACCTGCCTGGGATGGAGCGCCGAGTTTTGGCTTAGTTCCTGATGTGAGAAGAGTACCACGCTGTGCCATGTAGGGGTCAGTTTATAAAACCCAAGTTGTGAAACTTCAGGAGATGTGGCGAAACTGCATTTGTAACGTTTCGGTTGTCTTTGGGTACCCAAAGCGTGCCTTTGTAGGATGTGCCCACGCTATACGAGGTGTTTGGCTGGGGATCCTGGCTGGGATGTGCCCTGCAGTGCATGAAAGCTGCTAACAGTGTTGGTGAGAGCAGCCTGGTGACCAGGATACCGCGCTGAAATTAGGGAGGTTTGGGTCCCTTCCCGGCCCAGCCACAGAGCTCTCGGTGCCACTTCAAGTCAGTTCTCCCTCCAGAAGGGGTGAAAATAACACTGCCTTTCCTGCTGTGTGCCTCGCGGAGATAAAATCTGCAACTGCCTGCAAAGTTCTCAGCTGTTATTTGACGAGAGCCTTTGCAGATCCCTTGCCGGATAGCAAAAAAAAATAATATTCAATTTCACCTCAGATTCCTATCTGGCATCTTTTCCTGTGACCTTGATGGCTCCTGAGAGTCGGCGGAGGAATGCGTTTCCTTTGTTCGAGCCTGAAAAGCCCGAGCTGGCTGTCCTCGTGCTGCAAAACCCTGGGTCTGGCCAGGGGCGCGGGGCTCTGCAGTTAGCTCCGTGCTGCCGGCAGCTACAGGTGCTCGTGAATCACGTCAGCCCCGAGCCAGGAGCGGTGATAAATAGCACGGTAGTAGCTCGATCTAGAGCAAATGGCATAATAAATTACGGGGTGTCCCGACAGCTGCAATTCACTCGCTGTTAGCTACAGCTCTCGGCTTGTGTCAGTCAAGGGAAGCGGTGCGGTGGGACGGGATCTCCTGAACTGCTTTCAGACCGACCTGCATAAAGCCCCGTTGTCTGTCTCGTGGGCGCTTGCACCGCTCTGAGGAGTTCTTTGAAAATGTTTGTTTGAAGTGGGGAGCGTTTCTTGTGAACCCATCGCCCCGTCGCTACGTGGAAACGCAGATTACATCTCGGGCAGCTTTGAGACAGCTCTGAGGTTAGGAGGCAGCGGCCCCTTCATCAGCGAGCTGGTAGCAGCGTGGGTACAAGTGGGCTTGGGCAGCCCGGCTGCCCTCCCTGGCCTGCTTGTGCCTCCGTACCTGGGGAGCAGGAAGGATGGGGAAAGGAGGTGTTGGTGTCAAAGCCTGTGGTGGGATTCTCCCTGGCAGCTGCTTTGCATCAGAGACGGGCAACCCGATGGGCACTGCCAAGCTGGGGCGTATGAGGGCTCAGTCACGAGCTCTGCCTCCAGCTGGTCTCGTTATTGCAGGTTTCCCACCTGTAAAATGGGAATAACACACCTCTGTTTTCCGTTGCTCCATGGGATGCACGGCACGTGGCCACCTCTTTGGCAAACGCTGCTGCTCCTGCTGCGCCCTGCAGAGGCCGTCACAGTGGTGCCGTGGGGAGGGCAGAGGTGGCACTGAGCCCCTGATGAGGTCCCTGTGGACGAGGTCTCTGGCTCTGCGAATCCTCCCCCTGCTCCTACAACGTCCCTTTTCTCACCACACCTCCCCGCAGCCCTCTGTCAGCACTGGTGCCCCGTGGGGACGCCAGCCGTGCGGCTGCCCTGATAACTCAATCTGCTGTTCTGCCATCTGTGCCTGCCCTCCTGTCCTTTCTCCCTCCTTCCCCTGCCAGCTGCCGCCTTTCCTTGCAGCTTCCCCGGTGTGAGGCCGGGAAATGAGGTAGGGGATCACCCAAGAAGGACCCAGCATTGCCTGCAGCCCAGGAGAGCCGGGCTGGCTGTCAGGAGCCTCCTGCCCTGGCAGAGGGGCACTCGCTCATCTATTCATTAACTCTCCTCCTCTGAAACTGTCTGTGGGTGGAAGAAGCAGATTTAGGAGCAAAGGAAGAGGTTCACGAGAATGCTTGTTCGCACAAAAGTGCTGTGTTGCCTCCAAATCTGCCTCAGACTTTCCGGTACGTATCGGGTGGCTCTGCGGGGGCAGAAGCCCAGCTGTCCGTGCGGTCGTGCTGGTGCAGGATGCTGCCGGCAAGCTTCGGCACGACGTCAGGGGACAGCTGGTGGCACAGAAGGGATGCTGGATTTGTTTTGTGGGCCAAGAGGTCCCTGGGGTTGCGTAGGTTCAGCTCTGCTCCTTTGGGGTACAGAACGAAGAGCGTAAAAGGAAAGAGGAAAAAAAAGCAGCAGTTTCAGAAAAGGAGGGGGAAAGGCACGGTTGTGCTTGGCTCACCTGAAGTTTTCGTTTCCCCGTAGCAAACTGCCAGAGCTGGTCTGTGCGTCTCACGAGCGCAGCGCTTCAGCAGCCATTCGCACATCTCTCTTCCCAAGCCGCGATCGCCACTTCAGACGGATAATTTAATTTGCTGTAATTATTTTGTGTGGCTGGGAAGCCAAGGGAGGCAGGCGGCTGCTGCAGCACCTCCGCTGGCTATGGCCAGCCCTGCTGGGCAGTTGGTTCCCCCCCCCAGGGGATGAGATTTTCAGTGTCAAAAGTCTCTGCTGCTTTGTTTCAAGCAGCAGAGTTCCTAAAATCCTGGAAGTCCTCTGGAGCTTCTTTCCCCCGTTACAGGTCCCAGTTTTAGGGCTGGTGGTCAGAAATGTTCCCCGGTAGGAAATGGAAATAAAAAAAGAGCAGCAGTGGTGGGTTGGCTGTGCTGGCCGTGGGTCGCTCTGCCCCGCCAGCTGCCCACCCTGGCACCAAGCTGTCCTCCAGGCGAAAACAGAGACTGATCCCAGGCAAAATAAAGAATTATTTCCATGGAAAGGTCAAAAATCTGCCTTCTTGCAACATGAAAATGCCATCCTGAAGCACAGCCAAATCCCGGCACCTGCTCTAGCATCTCTCTGCTGTCAGGGTGGTGCAAGGAAGCTTTAAGGGCAGTTTGGCTGTCCAGAGGGTCAGCAGGTGCTCCGAGCAAATGAAAGGTTGCTTGTTCAGTATATTCCCCTGGTAACGCCTGATAGATAATCCATAGTCTGCAGCTGGGGAGCAAGCTTGTCACGAGCCTCTAATACCCCAAACCCAGGCCCTGTTATTTACATTCGATTGAAGATGTAGGTCATACAATGTGTTTTTTTCTTTCCCGATCGGCTGAGCATAAAAGGCAGAATCCAATTTTCAGTGGAAATAGGCCTGATTACAAATTCAAATTTTTATTTCTCTGAGCACTTTTGCAACATTTGCATTGTAATTTGCTGTTTCCATAAATACCAGAGCTTCAATTGCTGAGATATTCAGCCAGAGCACATGCAAGTGGGCTGCGAGCACAGGCTCGGTGAAAGAATGAAGTCTGTAGGTGCACAGCAGTAGAAAGTGGCTTTGTCACATCTGGGCACCCGTCCCTCTCACTCTCTTCTGTATATGTGCAGCTGGGGTGTGCACGCGACTGGCCCTACATTTTTAATACCCGTGTGTTGTGCCACAGCATCCTGCTGCAGCCAGGGGCACGGTTCCCTGACAGCTCTTCGATTATGCACTGAGTTTGCAGTCATCCTTTCAGGCTGAAATCATTCGAGTCAGAGGACAAGGAGAGAACTTTCCCACCCAAAAGGGAAATGATGTTGCATTGCTGAGCGACCAGCCCAAGTAATAATATAATCTTAGAAAAATGCAGTTCCCTCGAGGAAAGGAAGCTCTGTAAACTTCAGCTCCTCCAAGCTGCCCGCGTTGCTGTTGCCTGTGTTAGAGCAGTGTCAAAGCTTGTCTGCCGGGGTGCTCGGGAGATCACACAGCAAAGTGGGAACGAGAACCAGCTCCTGCTTGAAATGAGGACCTCTTAGGGTCAGGACGCTGTGAGGTTTCCACTGCAGATTTCAGGATGCTGGGTCCTGTCCCTTCTTTGCTGTTAATCGCCTCTTTGTGCCAGCAGGGTGCTGTATGTGGTGGCAGCAACCCTGGTCCTGAAGAAGGAACAGGGCTGGGACCAGCTGCAGGAAGGTGCAACACCTGCAGGGTTTCACTGATGGGGACGATGGGGTCAAAAGTGTGCTTGTGTGGAGCTGGGGGGGGGGGGGAATGTGGTTTGTTCTTAGAGCTGTCCGTGTTTGGGCAAAGCCACACAAGGGAAAGGTGTGATAAGTTGCTCAGATGAAGCTGTCTCATGAGCTCTGTCTTTTCAGAAGCCAGGATAAAATGCACGAGGAATAAGAAAGCCTTTTATTAAGTGTTTGAAGTGCAGTAGCCAACCTGTCTCCCCCAAGCAAGGCTCGCTGTGGTGTCCCCAGTCCCACGAGGAATTCTCCATCGCCTGTTCCCTGTGCAGGTGGGGCTCCTCGGGAGGTGTAGAACTGTACGTAAATCTGCGTCCCAGCACCAAGTTGTTCGCTAACTGGTTTTGCAGGCAACCGGTTACTGGAGCATCGCCCCAGCTGCACTCAGCATCTCGGCTGTGGATGATGGGCTG